ACAGGGGGTTGGGGATTTAGCTCAGTGGAGAGCACTTGGCAAGGCCCTGGGTTTGGTCCTCAGCTAGGAAAAAAAAAAAAAAAAAAAAACCATCACAACAAAACACAACAAAACAAACCCCAGACCCCACCAACAGATGGCCAAAGCTGTCTGTAATATTTAGAAAGACGAAAAGGGCTTTTTGTATGTAGGAAAGCTAGGCAGCAGACCAGAGACAGACCCTGACAATGAAGAATCCAGGACAAAGGCAGTTGTGGCTCTCCGGCACAGGCTAGCATTTGTAAAAGCAATGTAGTGTGGCTGACCAGCAAGCAGGAGTCCCCAGGATCCCGTTTCTGCTGTGTCATAGGTGTTGCTGTTGTGATTTAAAAAACTGTTTTCTCTTCCTGGATATGAACACATTTAGAAACTCTATCTTCCCCTCACAGCATCTGAAAAGTAAATAAATAAAACAGTTCAGGAAAGACCTTACCCTCTTGGCTCCTGTCCTGTCTTGCTGGGTGATCCCAGTCACTGTGAAGCAGGGTTGTACCATCAGAGTGCTCTAAGTGCCGAGAGCTAGGTTAGGCCCCATCCTGAACCTCTGATGCTGATATGATACATCCTAGATTATCAAGGAAAGTGGGGCGGGGAAGCATCCTGTTTTGAGGTGTCAAGGCCTGGCTGGAAGTGGAGCTTTCACTGCAGTGGGTCATGTGATCTTGCACAATTTAGCCTCTTCAAGTCTGTTTCCTTATTCACCACACAACGAACATAACAGTATTGGTTGTGAAGCTACTTCGATATACTAAACAGGAGCAGGCGGGACAACTGTCAAAGCAGCACTGGGCCCGAGGCAGCTCGCGTAGCTGTTAGCCATCAGCCTGGTCAGATCACAAGACGGTCCCTTGTGGAAACAGAAGCTTGCTGTGAAGCTTTTCACGGAGCAGCTGTTGGTCACTACATGGCTTGAATAGGCTTATGTGAACAAAAGTCAGCAGGTTTGGCTGAGGCGCTCAACAATGTAGAAACAGCTCAGTCTTGGGAGTTCTGAAAGCAGATAAGGAACCAGGTACAGAGAATGTGCTTTCAACAAAGGAAGTAAAAAAATAGCAGTTTCATGCTTTAGCAAGGGTAGGGGCTTGGGCCCATTCTGTTTAATTTACTATTTTTATATCTTTGAAAAACTCTTCAAAAATGTGGTTCATTTTCTCAAAAAAAAAAAAAAAACCCCAAAAACCTTTGACTCTATGTCCTCCAAAATAATAGATTTGACTGTTCTTAAAAGGTATTAATGACTGTTTATATTGGAAACCCTAAGGAAATGGCTGAAATGCAGCTTCTTGGACCCAAGATCAGATCTCCAGACTCTGACTTTCAGAGAGTGGTAGTTCTTGGTATCCCCATGCGTGACAAACTGCTGAGAGCTTTGTATCACTGGGTCAACGTGCCATCAAAAATGGTAAAATCTAGATCATGTTACATATAAAACACTCAAGGGGGAAACTGTGAAAGTATTAGCAGTGGATGTGAGGCAGTGTGAACAATACAATTCCACTTTGTTTTAGTATGGTATGTGCCCTAGTGTAACCATGCTTCAAAGAAAGACGGAAGCGTGCACACCAAACTCAACAATGGTTACCACTACGTGAAATACGACGCGTGATTTAGTCTCTTTCTGGTTTCAATATGCATAAAAATACTCTATAATAACTGTCTAGTACCTAACTAATGAGTGAAATATGTGCTTTAAAAATAAAAACAAAGTGGCCAGATGTGTAACACTGAAGTCTTACAAGTTGAAGGAAAGATAGGACTCCTATAACCCAAAGTACCTCTTGTAAGGGATGATGAAGTGTGTAGAGAGGGGAAGTGAATTGCCAAAGCTTCCTCACCCTGACCTTTAGTAACCGGGCTACCACAGACCCCAAGTCGTTGGACTTTGGGGCAGAGGGTTTGAAGTGCTCTGTCCTAGCCAGGGACCTCCTGCCTCTCTTCTTTCCTGTTCTGTAAGGGTGACAAAAGACCACAGGAAATGCAGTGATTTTGAGGGTGGAGAGGATGCGATAGCCTTTGCAAGGAGGACTTTGTAGTTCTTGTTAATATCTCTTTGGGAGTTAGTAGGTCATTTGTGAAAGGCATGGGAAGAGCAGCTGATGAAAGGTCTAATAGTGTGGAAAACTGCTTAACCTTATTGCTCTATTTCTGGCTATTCCCCCACGGCCAAGGACTGCTGAGATCCTGGTTTCCCCAGGAGGTTTCCCATTTAGGGATTCAGTGAAACCTCTGAAATCCAGAGGAATTGGGGAGAAGGACAGCTGGAATTAGGGAACAGGTTTATGACTACAGGATAGTCATGTCTATTATTTTCAAAGACATAGGATCTCAGGTTTGGAAAGAGACTAATTCAGCCTTTTGCTCAGTATAGGAAACTTTGTGCTTCATCTTGAACAATGCTTCATCTTGAATGCTTCCAAAGACAAGAGGCTTAGTATTCTAAAAGAGTAACTGTCTCACGCTTAGGAGAGTCTTCTTCTACTTACCCTGGAGTATTCCTTCTGGTAAGGCCATGCTTGTTCTCCAGTATGCACAGAGAGCAGGCCTTTCCTCCTCCCATCCCAAAAGTCTTCCAGCATTGAGAGCAGCAGCTAGTCCCTCACATTATGTCTTCTGCAGACTGACTAACTTCAGAATATTCAGCTATTATTTACATGACAAATGCTATCAACTCCAACTACAAATATGAATAGGCAACTCTAATCAGCCTCTAAATGAACTTCTATGCAATTTCAGAGCTCAGCAGAGCTGGGATACTACTTGTTCTGACTACATTTTACAGATAAGCAAACTGAGGTCCACTGACAAAAATTGCCTTATCTGACTTTCAAGAGACAGGGAGAGAAAGAAAGAAGAAAAATCAGAGGCTGAGTTGAGACCTAACCCCTAGCTGGATGAATTCCAGTTGAATCTCTTTTCATTTTACCTCATCTCTTACTGTTCACAAGACAGCAGCATTTCAAACTCTTTAAAGTGCTTGGAAAATTTGCTCTCTGAGGTATCTTAAACACTCTTCCATCAAATTATTTGTATTGTCAGTAAAGTAAGGGTTACATAGAGCTGGGTTTAGTCGAGGAAGTACCGTCAATGAAAAGAATCGTTCCAGTGTGTTAGTGCCCCTTGCTCTTTGTCGTCTGAAAATAATTGTCCTTGCCCTAGAATGCTAGCTCAAAACAGACAGCAGACCTATAGGGCTACCCAGGCCAAATTTCCAGAAGGCCCATGCACCCGTTCACATTAGAAGATAAATCTTCCGAACTTTGGAGTGGAGAGGGTGTCTGCCAGGGCCTGTGGCAGTCTGTTTCAGCTTGATACTGTTGTGTTCACTTTCAAGTTTCATATCCTCTTTTCTGTTTGGCTTCATTCACTAATAAAAGATGAAACAAAGAGAAGCCAAGTAGGCACTGCAGTGATTGGTGTCTTGCCCCAGTCCCTAGCCACCGAGCAGTCACATGTTTTGAAGGGAACATTACTCCCCACCCCAACCAACAGAATCGCCCTCTTCTCTCAGCAAGGTATTGTATTTCCAGTTCTTACACTTGTTTTGGCACACATCGTAAGCTGCCTCCCATTGCTTCCTGCTTTGCGTGGGTGCGAGGCTCCATGCATTCTAGAATCATACAGGCCTACGTTCTGGTACTTACTCTGCACCCAGCTGGCCCTGTGGCTTGGTGAGTATCAGTTGCATCATTTGCTAGATGGGGACAATTATCCTACCTGCACCCTAAGGTTATAGAGATGACGAAGTGCCCAACAGTTGCCTAACATAACCCTATCTGTTTAATATCGTTAATATCATGGTCCAGAAGGCAGAGACCAAAGTCTATGCTTTTCTTGTTGCACACAGTAGGTACTCCACAGAAACTCCAGGACCGATTCTGGCCTAGGTCAACTTGGCAGCAAGTTTATCATCAGAAACATTTTCAAAAGCATGTAAGAGCAGCTCTTTTTTCTAAGTGCCCTTTCCCCTCGATTCGATTCCCTTCCTCAGGAATTATCTCAGCAGGCAGGCCCACCCTGCCCTGCCACCGTTCACAGCTGTCAGCTTGCATCTCAGGACAGTGTTCTCATCTGACAGACTGAGACTTGCTGTCCAGGCAAAGAAAACTTTATGGTGATGAATCTAACACAAGCCTTATATAACCAGCATGTCAACAAATATGAGACAACAGAGGGACAGAGAAAACACAAAAGAATGTGGCAAGGAAGGGACGGCAATAGGCTTAGGTGCTCTCATTTTCCAAGCCCCTGAAAGCTGATCAAAGTTCTTAAGTTTTAAATCTTCCTAAAAGGACCCAAGTGTTGCAAGTGTCTTTTAACTAAGAATTAGTGTTAACACTCAGAACTGAAATTTTGACTGAAATTGCATTAGAGATTCCTTTAGCTGAGTATGTACACATATTGACATTATTTCTTAAGATTTTTGTCTATTTGATTTATGAATATGACAGGTTTCTAAAATAAATTTTTTATTAAGACTATGGGAAATTTCTGAAGTTGTTTGAAATTCCTTATTGGTCATAGAGTTAAGAATCTCCCAACTTCCCTAAATGCAAGGAATATCTTATAAGATTCTTGTTAATGAAATACACAATTCTTTCTGTTGTCTCTATTGCAGAGTATTTGTTTATTCCATTCCTTTTGTATTAAAGATCAAAACGAAATAAAAATATCTGCCCAAATGAATTAAGCATGGTGTAGCCCCAGGGACAAGTCTTGACAACTGAGGCAAGGGCAGAATTCAGCGGTGATATGGTTGGGAGAACAGAGCTGTTCTGGCAGGCAGTCACATCCCTCGCTTAGCCCTGCAGTGGCATCTTTGATTGCTTACCTTGGGCAGTTCGTCCCTTCTCATAGGTTTTCAGGCTCTTCAGATTATAGGTCCTTCCAAATCCAAAAAGGCTATGGGCCTGTGAATAATAGCCAGGGAAGCTGTCTTCATCTCTGGGTGTGAGGCTCAGAGCAGGAGGAGACTGTGGCAACAGGTATGAAAACCTTGAACAAGACACCAGAGCACAGAATGGTGCACACTGCTCGCTTGGCCCTAGCAGGGCAGGAGCCTTCTCCCGAGGCTCAGTGCTGGCCACACCCCCAGACCCCCAGCTGTCCAGAAGCAGAGAAGGCTAGTGCTTTTCTGGTTGGGGATGTTGGACAATAGGGCAGAAAGAAGCGGAGTAAACTTCAGTGGTGGGAGAAATGGTAAGGAACCCCGCAGGCTGATCCTTCCCAGCCTGGCGTTGCCAAGGAGGATGATCCACTCCGTGAAACCTGGGCCAAGCTCTGGCTCAGACACACAGGCAAAAATAGAAAGGGGCTGCAAGAAGAAATGTGTTTGCTTTTGCGATTTCCCTCTGTGCCTCTGAGTAGTAGTATAATCTCTCTGCAAACAGGCAGTAAGGGGCTGTAGGCGTCGCCTCCACTGATAAAGCCTCCCAAACAACTCCTGCATGAACCTACAACCTTAAGTCCTCATGTCAACTACATGAGCAGCTGGAAGGCAAGCTCAGAAGGCAATGTGGTGCAGCAAACTGAGGGTTCATCACTAACTGGGTGAACTCGCACCAATCTGTCTCCCAGGCTTTGCAAAATAACAGCACTTGGATTAGACAGCATCAAAAACAAACAAACAAACAAAAACCTGGTTTCCATTTTCAGTCCACAGTAGGCTTTCTGCTAAGGGTTATTTCATCCTTGGGGTAAATGGTCATGGCTGAGAACATTTTTTAGTATCATTAGTAAATCTGAGGGGTGCTGTTAGCATCTGCTGGGTAGAGGCAGGGTTGCTGCTCAACATTGTATAATTCATGGGACTGCCAAGGATGGAAAAGTCTGGTTGACACGGAAGTGCTGAGAGCCAGGGAAGAGGAGACAGGGACAACGTGAAGGAAGGAGGAAAGGTTAAACCTGTGTTCAGGATAAGAAGTATTCACCGGCTCTGGTTTTCAGCTTTGCTCTCCAAGGTCTTTAATTTTCCCTTGGAATGAACTGCCTTGAAGAGCAAGAACATCTTCCTCATTCTGAATATGCCAAGCCCTGATGCAGTAAAATGGCCCTACTGTTAAGACACAGCAAAGATATAAACACACAGTTATTAAACAAGTAATCAGGAAGGTAGGTGGAGGGGTATGTGGAGGGACAAAACATGCTCAGGACTCTGCCTGTGAGTCAGGACTTCTGAGGCAACAGCACAGAATAACAATTGCAGGACACTGGGCTATCAGAGCAGGTAGAACTGCTTGGGGCACACGTGAAATTAGGAGATACAGGTTTGTACCTGGAGACTCGAGGTACATGGAAGGGTTAAGTAATCAGGGCACGCCATTCTTGTATCATTCCACATTAAGCCACTGGGCAGTTATTACAAATAGTTACCTGTGGTTTCCAGTAGGAGAGACAAGGACACTCCAGAGTCAAGAGGTTTTGGAGAAACAGGTGCAATGAAGTCATGGTTAAACAATTTATTTACTGTAAACTTTAGACTTTGCTCAGAAAAACAACTGAAGCTGTCTCTTGAATCCCTGCCTACAACACTCCATTCAAGCAGATAGGAGTGGAAGAGAGTCCATGTTCACAGCTGAAAGGTCCGAGATACTCAGGATTTTCAAGTCCAAGAGTGCAGGAAGGAAAAACTCCTTCAGATACAAATTACCAGCAGCAATATATGTTATCCCTAACACTTGACCAATGAGGTAGATACATGGAAAAGTCATCCAAACATACAGATCCAGGTCCTCTAGGGCTAATACCCTTTAGACACAAACTTAGAAGTTCCAAGCAAAGAGGAACTGAACTGTACAAAGAACAAATAAGCAATCAAATACAGTTTCTTTTTTTTTACAGCTTAAAAAAATAAAAAATGGCAGAAGGCTGCCCTCCTGCAAATCTCTATACAATTTTATTCTAAACTTATTACACTCAAGTTAAATAGTCTGGTTAGTGTTCTGTTGGAGGGGAGGGAGTCTTAAAAAGTAGAGAGCCTGTGTCACAGCAGGGAGTCATTTGTACAGTTCCTCCCTTGGGAATCAATGCTATGGCTAGGCACAGTACCTGGACAGCTCACAAAGCCTTCCTTGCCGGGGGTTTCCTCACACAGCAGCTCACTTTCTTTCTCCTGCCCCAGTTGACATCCACTTGGCTCCTCTGGGTAGTCCATTTTGCCATTGCTATTACTGGAGTAGCCATTCCCATAGGCTTTCAAAGAAGACCTGCGTAGGCACAGAAGCTCCTGGAAGGCAATCCTGAAATCTGGACTCCTGCAGTAGATAAGGGGATTGAAAGCAGAATTGACATAGCCCAGCCAGTTGAGGAGGATGTAAACCTCCTTAGGGATGAGGTTGTCCTGGATCACATGCACGATGTTGACAATAAAGAAGGGCAGCCAGCAGAGGGTGAATGTGCCCATGATGATGCCTAAGGTTTTGAGGGCTTTATGCTCCTTCAGGTAGAACTTGGAGGACCTGCGGAGTCCCTGCCCGCTCTGGCCATCCTGCTCCACCTGGCTGAGGTTTTGGGTATGGAATCGGCCCTCGGATTTGTCAATCTTCTGGAGCTGTCTTTTGGCCACCTGGAAGACCCTGGAGTAGACGAAGACCATGACCACCAGGGGCAAGTAGAAAGACACAATGGAGGAAGCAATGGCATAGGCCTGGTTGGTAAAGAAGTCACAGCAGGTTTCCTCCGTGTAGCAGTTGATGGCTTTCTGGTGGGTGGCCCGATACCAATGCATCTGGATGGGCAAGAAGGAAGTAAGGCCTGACACAATCCACACCATCAAGACGACCACTCGAGCCTTATTCTTGGTCAGCAAGCTCTGATACTTGAAAGGTGACGTGATGGCAAAGTAACGATCCACTGCAATCACGCACAGGGTCTCGATGCTGGCCGTGACGCACAGCACGTCAATGGAAGTCCAAAACTCACACCAGAAGTTGCCGAAACTCCACATTTTCATAAGGATGTGGCTGGCCCCAAACGGCACCACCGCTAGGCCCATGAGTAGATCAGCACAAGCCAAGGAGGTGATGAAGTAGTTGGTGACGGTCTGCAGTCGTTCAAACTTGGCAATGGCTGTGATGACCAGCACGTTGCCAAACACGGTAGCCAGGACGATAAGCGACATGAGGATGGCCATGCCCACCACCCACGCCTCGTCCCGATCCTGAGTGATGTCGTGATCAGGCGTGCGGCTTCCGTTGGGCGTCAGCAAGAAATTGCTGTCGTTCCCCGGTTGTCCCATGGCTCGCAGGTTGGCAGGTGAGCGCACGGCCTCCCGCTCCCTGGCGGCGTCTCAGCGGGCGCACCTCCGGCGGGGCGCTGCTGGCCGGGGATGGGCGCCTGGAAGCCTCATTCAGCGGCCGTAGGATCGTATGCTGGGGACGCGTCCTGCACACTCAGCTGCTCCGGGCTCCCGGTGCCTGACAGCTCCGGCTTGCGCCAAGGAGAAGCCGCCTCGGTGGAGTGCGCTCTGCCCGTTATGTGCCCTGTGCCGGGGACTTTAGAGGGCCTGCCCTCCTGTGACGTGCAGTAACTTTGAGCCAATGGCACCGCCGCAGGCCCGGAGGGGCGAGGCACAACTCTGCGACCTGCCCTCCTGGCCTCGCCCGCCTCCTCCAGGGGCTGGACGGGGCGGGGCCTAAGGGCTCCCCGAGGCCAGGCCACCACTCCCTCCAAGCTACCCAGAGGGCGAAAGCTGGGGCTACTGTCCCTACCCGCCAACCCAGGCGCTGTTGGCTTGTCTATGGCTTCTACCTGTCGGCTCTGGGCACTTATGCGGGCTGACGCCTCTAGACAGGGACCGCACTTCCTCACCTTGGCGAATGCCCACCCAGACACGCACACACAGGCACAAATGCACCCATCAGACAAGCTCAGACTTATGCCGAGCCACAGCCACAGACACTGAGACACACCCGCCCGGCGCACAGACATGCACACGGGGCCTGTTCACACTGCAGAGATGACACAGTACAAAGTCTCCAGGTCCAACAGAGAGAGGCTGGTAGAAACAAACACAGGAGCACCCAGAAGCACAAAGTTATCACACACCGAAAGAAATAGACACAGCAGTCACTTGGAGGCAGAGCCCCTCAGACACAGCTGTCCCTATCCAGGTGCAACACCCCCCTACAGCATTCATAATGACACCCTCTTTCCCTACTCCCAGATACTCAGTATATTCCCTTTCAAATATTTGACCAGTCCACAGGAGGTGACTTGAACAGCTGCTGAGTACCTCAGCCCACTGAAAAGTACTTTTGGTGCCCTCCTTGAAAACTTGTGGGCATTGAGACAATAATTTTATCCTTTGCATTTCATTAGGAGTCAAGGTAGTTATGCATTTTGGGAGAAGAGAAATGAAAATGTAATAATTTTCAAACAATTTCTTCAGGAATTGTATTGCAACTAAATATATATCCTTTCACGTGCTGTCTGGATTATTTGTTAATCTTATGGGTTGTATCATGTGAAACTGCCACTTTTGACCATTTTTGACTTCATACAATTTCATACAATTTATAACATAAAATATGTGTCAGCATGGAGAACGTTTAGGAACTACAGCAAGTAAAAGATAGCTCTTCCCTGAAAACAGTCAGACCAAGCTTTAAGACCTTGTCAATGAAGTTCTATCCTTTGCATCTGGCATATGACTTGACTGTTGGGGAAAAAATTAATCTTCAGGGTTTGATTTCACATGGACTAGTGATGTCTTTGACAAACTGAAAGTATTTCATGTAGGGCAACCAAACAGACTTTGTAGATTACATAATAACAGAACAATGGCTAACATTTATGGAGCATTCTGCTATGTGCCTTTTGCACACTGTTGTGTTTAATCCTTCCCACAAGTCCCATGGAGGGAAGAGAGGCTAATTTTAGCTTAGTTCACCAATGGGACTCAAAGAAGCAAATCGCTTGTCCAGGAGAACTGGACCCATTTTTATAAACTTTCAAAGGCACTGCATTATTCCATGTAGAAAAGAGAGGAGGATCTTGAAGAAACCCTGCAATCAGAGTTGGAATGCGCAGGTTCCAGTCCACCTGCCCTGGGACCCACATGTTCATTTCCCTTAGTCAAATCACAAAGAAAGAAAAAGCTTGATTTCCTTCGTCTCTAAAGATTGTGTGTGTGTGTGTGTGTGTGTGTGTTTGTGTTTGTGTGTGTGTGTGTGGGAGGAAGAAAGAGAGGGAGGAGAGAAAGAGCAAGCGTATTCCATGTAGAAAAGAGAGGAGGATCTTGAAGAAACCCTGCAATCAGAGTTGGAATGCGCAGGTTCCAGTCCACCTGCCCTGGGACCCACATGTTCATTTCCCTTAGTCAAATCACAAAGAAAGAAAAAGCTTGATTTCCTTCGTCTCTAAAGATTGTGTGTGTGTGTGTGTGTGTGTGTGTGTGTGTGTATGTGTGTGTGTGAGAGAGAGAGAAAGAGAGAGAGAGGAAGCATGAGAGCAATGCTTTAAAGATGAAAGTGCTGTCACATACATGAGTGCCACACAAACATGTGTTGCTAGTGAATGTTCTCACTCACTTAGAACATATTAGCAGTTTCCTCTAACAGAACAATAAAATATTTCAGGAAAAAAAAAGGAAGCGCAAGTTTTATTTCAGAGTACAGCTTGGAAACAAAAACTACACAGACCCTTTAACTTCCTTCAACAACACAAACTGTCTCAAAAATCAAACGTTTCCTATGAAAATCACAAATATAAATTAAGGGTTTATTATGTTCACAGAGTTTTCAAAATATACCCACCTCATATTTGTGTTTCCAAAATTGGCTCTGGTGTGATGCATTTTAGGACAGGCCTTTTGTGTTGTGCAACAACTTTTCTTTAAATACACGTCTACTCTGAATTGTGGAACTAAATAGTTTAGAAAATTCTTCCTGTTTGCCAAGCTATGGAATAAATAAGCATATTGTCTGACCTTCCCCAGCAACAACAAAGAACAAGGAAAATCCTTTTAGGGCAGCACTGATCGATCTTTTATTGGGGTAAGCGCTTAAGTCGCTTAAAGTTTCAGCAGGTCTTTATGAAAACACCCTTAAAAAAAAAAACACAAATACTAAATCAAGGAGAGATTGAATTTCTCAAGTAGAAAGTCCTGTGTCTTTGCCTACCAACTTTGACAAATGTTCGTTCTCTCTCTCTCTCTCTCTCTCTCTCTCGCTCTTTCTCTGTAGAAATTTCAGAATATTGTTCTTTCTCTGACCTCCTTTTAGGATTATAGGTCAAGACAAAATGGAAGTAGGGAAGCATTTAGCAGATTATTTAGTTATTCCCTCTAGTTTGTAGCAAAAAGGAGCCTAAAGTGTCAGGGAAAACAAGTCAGGCTCCCCTCCCACTACCCCGGGGCTATCCATGTCTTCACTACCCAGCAACTATGATTTCATTTCCCAGCAAATGAGTCCAACTACAGGTGCTTACTGAGCTTGTGACCTTAAATCATCAAGGCTTCAGTAGTAGGAGAATGTTCTTGGTAGACTAAAGCTACCTTTATCTGATCTAAGGAAAACCAGGCTCTTTTACAGTGATTGATAGTGTCTAATTGCATATTTTGTCAATCCCTTAAGACACTGATTTGCCATTTCCTGCCTGCCAAACAGGAATAAAACTCACAGTTTGATTTACCTAATTAATGTTTGAACAGGAGTAAGGCTCTGTGCTGTCAGAAAATGCCCTCACACTGGTAGCTGGACAGCTTTGGAAACCTATCCTGGCTCTTGGCTCAGAGAAGAATTCTTCCGTATTTATGATCATGAAGCAGAGAAACGTCTATAGATCTCTTTGGTTTATCATATCTACCTTTAACAGTATGTTTGGGCAGCATTATCTCTTTACATTTATATAAAATGAGGCTAAATACATGTACTTATTTTACCTTTTAAAAGAGACGGTCACTCCTATTGTCTTTTAATTAAAAAGATAGAATGCATATTTGTCCCATCATGTCATAACTAAGAAAGGATTCTTTGACATGAGTAATATACAATTTCGTTTACATTTGAATTGTTATAAAGGTAAAAAAGAAAGAAAGAAACTTTATTCTCATGAGAAAAGGCAAAACCTGAGGGAGAAGAATGAGTCTGAAAATTACTACTAGCATTTGAGTTATATAGCTAGTGGTTTGGGATGAAGCAGCTCACAGCTGAGTTAGCTCCTTACATGTCACTACAGTGAGAGAAAATCTGCCCGCCTCTTTCCTAGGTGTGTATTTCTCTCTCTGTCCAGAGTTTGAACTAAAATCCATCTTCCTGCAATTTGGGTCTACAGATCTTAAATCTGCCCCCTGGAGGCCACTCAAAACAAGCTCTTGAGCTCTTGCGAGAAACCCTTTGAGGTCTCTGTCCTCTAGGAGTCCAGTATTCCTGGGCCTGGGAGATAGGTCTTTTTCTCTCCATGTTTCACTTTGTTCTTGTCTAAACTTAACACCAATATGTGGAAAGATCTAGAACAAGTCATCAAACAATCACTTTGCAATCACCTTGGCAGCCACAAAGTGAAGCAGGTCAACAAGCGAAGCTTTCCAAACAGCTGATTATACCAGATGAATTTAATTTCCTGCTATGCTAGGCTTTTATGAGATACATGTTAACAAATCCTCCACATCTCAGGGGCGTCGGACAAAAGGAGGTACATTAAATTAAAGTGGGGGAAACTTCAGTTGACCATATAAAGGACTCTTTGAACTGAAGACAATTCCTCATTTAAAGGGCTGATCTCTAGCAGTTTAAACCCCACAGAAAATATTTTGAACAACAATTCTCAATTCTCCTAAGCTGGTACAAAAGTTTTCTTAGGGACACGAGTGAGAAATTATCAGTCTATACAATGTAATGGATGCCCAGTGATTGGTGAGAAATTCTCTGACTGAATATGAGATTGCTTGGAGTCTCCTTCAGGTCTGGGAATGGATAGTGTGTGATGTGTATAGGATGGATGTCTGCATAAGAGAGAGTGTGGGTAGGGGACCAGGAAACCTTAGATCTGGCCCCCCCCCCCCGCCCAAACAGCCATCATACTGTGAGTGGCCTGAACAAGTCATCTTTCCTGGAACCTCAGTTGTCATCTATGTAATGGGGAGTGGCTGATGATACTGGAGACTTCCATCAGAAATGCACAAGCCTGCTGTGGGAGGAAGTACCTTGAGGGCCATTAAGGAGATGAGTTCCTGACTGTGAAGAGTCACTGTAGAGTTGGCAAGAATAGCTCTGAACCCTGCAAACAACTTGTTTATGTCCCCACATTGATGTTCTGAGGTCACATTTCTCCATCCTGAGTCCTGCTGTGCTGAGTAGCAGGTGTACTCTGATTTCCTAGATTATTGACTCACTTCTAATGCTCAAAAACATTTATTTTTCACAGAAAATTTTATATGACTGCCATCAATACATGTGGGAAACAGTGCCATTTGCCATAAATAAAAAGTAACCATGAAAACAAAACATTAGTAAATTTTAGCTTGATTTTATTG